AAAAAAAAAAAAAAAAAAGAGAGAACGAGAAAGGAGGAGAATGATCGTATACCTGTTCTGGCTTCTCGATTTGTGACAGGATAAAGCCCGAGACCTTCTTTTATAGGAGGGAACTCGTGTAAATTTAGGAAACTTCTTTTCCTGATATGGTGAGGGATCCACTGCAGAATCTTTGAAAATTGTAAAGCTGGAAAGAAATAATTTTCCAGCCATTTTCTATGCAATCGCGAAATCTTGCTGTGAAGAAATTTTGTGTGTATATAAACACAGTTCTGTGCGCACGTGTATGTGGAGACTTGGTGTTTGGAAACAAAATTTGACTTAAGATGCAAAGAATCTGTCGTGTTTATGTAATGTGCATGGGAAGTAGTTAAGATTCAATTTTGTAGAGTTGGACTTGCTGTGTTTGGAAATCTTTGGAACATTTGTTTCCACAAAAAGTGTTTTCAAATTGGCAATTATTTAAAGCCTGCCATGATGCATTAGGATAGAATTTTGTTGTATCTGATGCATGTTGGGCTCAAATATCACTCACAAGTGGGCCATAATTTGTTCTCAAAGACTTGGGCCATATTAATTTTGAAAGTTGAAACTTTTGGCCATTTGATACCCATGACAAGTTTAGCAATTTAGGCTCTCTTGGATATTGTAAGTCCATATCACGTCTTCCAAGCCCAATAAATGATGTCGCGACTCATTCACGTCAAGACACGTCGTCCTTGAATAAGTCTCGAGGGGGCATTTGTAGATACATAAAAATTGTGTCCAATTAAATGGCGCCACGTGGAAATTAATTTATTAAAAATCAAGTTATATTTTCTATTTATATTTTAGGAATTTCTACATATTTAATTCCTAAATTTAAATAGTTAATTAATTGATATATTAATATTTTGATTCTTGACCAATCAGAAAATGCCAAGTGTCAAATCCTTATTCTTGGTAAATAAATCATATCTTCTAGAAGATCTTGGGAGATCTAAATAGATCTTAAAGATCTTATGTGA